CTGTGTCCCCTGGAGCACTGGTTCCGTATTGATAACTCAGTGCCCCAGTGACTTTGCAGAACATCACGACCACAAATAACGAGGTGAGTGCAGCACGCCATTCCACAGAGCCAGGTGGATGCGAGGGCAGCTCCCAGCACCCTCTCACCCAGCATCCTGGTTACTGTCTTCACAGACTCACAACTGGTCACTGCGTTTACCTCTTCATTTTCGGTCTAAGCCACTGCAGTTGTAAATTCCATGACAATCAGGGATTTATGGATCTCTGTCCATCTTGTTCTCTATTATTTTCTCACGCCAAGAACCATTCCAGGCACATACCCATTTGAATAAATAAAGAATTCTCCTGTATGTAATTGTGTAAATATGAGGGTTGATTGATACTGTAAAGGGAGAAGTAGTTACTTTTATTATGCTAAATTTAATATATTCAGCAAGACAAATGCAGGCTTAAGACTAAGTGAAGAGAGAGAGAAAAGGACTGTGTGTGTGTGTGTAGGGAGGGAAGGAGGGAGAGGAAGAGGGAGAGGGAGAGGAGGAAGGGGGAGGTGGAAGGGGATGGGGAGGAAGAGAGAAGAACCCCTAAGCTGCCAGAAGTAGCACCGTCTGAAACCCAGACAGCAGGTGAGATTACCTGGGATGGAAACTTCACAACTCAATTCTGGCAACTCTACAGAGTAAGGGACAGAGAGATACGAGTACACTCTGCAATGAGTACCTTTCTCCATGACAGAGAAGCCGGAGGCAGGGGAACACACCAGGCCCGAGATGGAGCCTCCGGAGCCCAAGCTCAGGTTAAACCACCTGAGCCCAAGCTCAGGTGAGAGAGAAACTGAGGTGAGCAAAACCAGGAGCAGGCATTTGAACCTGGCCAGGAAGCAGTCTCACTTACATGCAGAGTGAGAGCATGCAAGTTAGACTGTGGGCACTGTCAGGTCCGAGCGGCCGATTCCTTAAAAGGTTCCGGCAGCCCCGGTCGGTCCCGGAACGGACGGGCTCCGGTGCCCGCAGCGCTCCGGCAGCAGCAGGGCTGGCGAGAACGAGACTCCAGGGTTTTCATTGTATAAATACAGAGAGGGAAAATGAGAAAAGACCCCCTGACACCAGCCCCTGCTACACCAGACAAACAACACAAGAATTCAAGACAAAGAGGCGGGATTCCAGAATTAATGTTCACTGCTGCTCTGAGCAAAATCTGAACAGTAAACAATAAGGATTTCAAAGTTAAAACAAAAGAGCCACTTCAGTATTCGGATTTAACCTTCAAAAAGAAAGCCCCACAGCACCGTGAGCTGACAATCCCATTCCACCTCGACACCCTGTGCTCCCGAGTTATTATGAGAACAGACTGCAGCGCAATTCAACTCATATTCCAGAATGCAACAAGCGCTTCCTGCCACAGGACCTGCTGGAAGCGGCGGCGCGTCTCCTTGCCTCGCCTTCTGATTCATATTTTGGTAGCAAGGTTACAATTAGCTCACCAGTGGCGAGTAAACCTATTTATAACACAGCAGTCCACCTGAGAGACACAATCAACCAGAAAGGCTTCTGGGGGGAAATGAAGTGCCGCTTCTCCCGCACTGATTGCAGGCCGCCAAGGTCCTTCAGGATGAAGCCTAACCTTCCCTGATCACAGGCACCGTGCCGGCCACCTCAGCCTCCATGTTCTTATGTAACATTTACATCGTGCCATAAACATACCCAGGGTTGCGTAAGAATCAAAACGTTGCCAAACCAATAAAGCCTAAAGCAGGTCACTCCCTCCGGACTGTTTTCGATTAGCACAGGTATGCTGCCGGGTCTGCGATGGAAGGGCCTGTCAAAAGTCAGAAATGAACTGAGGAAACCTGACTCATCTACAAAAATGCACAGATACGAAGAGATTAACCACCCTGTGACGCGGTGGCTATGTTATTCTGACCCATAAGATAGAAAGTAACGCAACTTTGCTTGTTCACTGAAGTCAGAAACTGTGTCTAAAAATACCTCCCAGCCAACTGGCTATCAGTCAGTCGGTCCCACAAACGTCCCAATGAGAGTGGCACAGACCGTTTCCTTCCTTTGCCGAGGGGGAACCGAGGCAGGCACCGTCAGGCCACGGGACTTGGTCAAGGACAACCTGAAAGGGAACGAAGGTGTGGGGCGGGAAACTCTGGTCTAACCTTTAACCAGAGGAGCCATTTTACTGTGTTTCACTCACATCGGTTCCAGGAGCTTTTAACAAAATAACCAGAGATTCCCTTCCTCTCTACAAGAGTTCACTCCCACCTGTACTTCAAAACCACGTCCACGGGACAGTGACAAGACTTGGCCCGAACTGAGATTTTCAGTCTGTTCAAAGAAATTCAAAATGTTCCTATCAGAAGCTCAAATGTTGCCATTATTGCTTCTGTCTTAAGAAATGAGTGTGTTCTCTTACTAACTACTGTATGTAATTTTACATTTTTACATGCTAAAGTGAAAATCCCGGAGAGGGCTTAAAACTGGTGCACCTATCGGATGGATGCTGTTTATAACCCCGAAGCCCTTCGCCTGATCACTGGCCTTTTCCTCAGGCGAAGTTAATTCACTGGTTAAAAGAACCACCTCTCCCTTGTGTCCCCATGTCCTGCCCAGGCAGCAGGCAGCAGGCAGCAGGCAGCAGGCAGCAGGCAGCAGGCAGCAGGCAGCAGGCAGCAGGGCTGGCTCCCCGGCTCCCGGCCCACCTCGGGAAGCGCACAGAGGAAGTGCAGGGGAGGAAAGCAATCAACCTCTTGTTATCATCAGCCTCTCTTTTCCCAGAACTGACGTTTTACTTCAGGCCTTTTGCAACAGTGGTCTCCGCAGCATGCACTATTGGCAACTAGCTGTGTCCCGGAAAAAACTGGAGTGTCTGGCCAAGAAGTTTAAAGGCCTTGGAGAATGTTTGCTGGACACACAACCCAATTTCCAATTCACCAAAAAAAGAAACTAATTCCCTATTTTGACCACCCATCTCACCCCAACAAACATCCAATTTAGGAAGGTTACACACACACACACACACACACACACACACACAAAATGAACTCTGCCCCATTCAGAACCAGTTGGATTATCAATTAAATATTCTTAACTAAGCTCACAACAAGCCGACAGACACGACAAGTTAACAGGGAAACGGCAGTTAAAAATCTTGCATATAGCAGGGGCTGGATAAAAATTCCTATGGAAGGAATTTAAAGATTTATTCACACACATATCAGATGACAAACACGAAGGCCAAGTCTCCTTATTTACTACCCCAGGAGAGAAATAACATGATGTTACACTTCCCAAAAACATGGCCCACAAGAAGGCCCAGAAAACATTCTCCACGAAAGCCATGATCTTAAATGTCAGGCCGTGCTCACACACCTTCCCCGGGCTGATCAGAACGACTGCGGCGTATCACCGTGCGAGGCGCATGGACACCCAGGAGCACGCGAGGTGCCTGCCAGGAGTATCAGCCCTGAACAAAGACCCCTCCGCACGGGCTGCCCCACTGGGCACAGCGTCAGAGCTGGAGATAATGAACTTGTCTCTGACACTCCAAAGTGGGGTGAGGTCCTTCCTGGATTGTCTGGTGCCTGAACCCACCTGAGAATCATTATGTGGAGAGGAGAGGAGAGGAGAGCCACAGAACACACACTTGATCTCACACTGCTGACAGGCTAGGCGCTGCTGAGAAGTCAAAGCAGCAGGCTTCGAACACCAGAGCCTAGACAACCCGACCGCCTCTCCCAGATCCATCTGTGGGTCAATAATCGCTTCGATACAACTGCCAAATATAACCTTCATCTGCTCCCCCAATGCCAAAACACATCGGAGACAACTCTCTTTACATGAAATATTTTAGGGTTTCATCTGCTCTTCTCAGCCCCACAGAGCCTCATAAATAACACACCCAGTGAAGGGTGCCACAGAGCGGCACCCACCTCTGCAGCTGGAAGGGTGGGGGTTGGCAGGTGAGGGACGTGTGAGGGTGCGGGAAAGTGAGGGGGGAGGGTGAGTTCAGAGAGGTCGTATTGGAAGGTACATAAGTACTGACCAAGGGCCAGGGGTGGGATCTTTTTAAAATAATCTGGAGGGTTTGGAGGTGGGTTCTAGGATTTCCCCGGAAAGGCATCCACGAAGGGAGCAAACTTGAATGGGCCCCCTGGGGTGGGGTGGGGGGGGAGGCGAGGTGGAAAGCAAACACACCTAGATGAAGATTAACCATCCTGGAACCTGGTGTCCTAGGGTGAGAGGGACTCCAACGGCAAACTCCCAACCGGTGGAGGGGCCTGTGGGCCCCACTTCCTCCAACGCGCTCCCACGGGGCACGTGTATGGGAGGCGGGGGGATGGCCCCACTGAGCTCCAGGGGCTGCGCGACGGGAAAATGGGACTCCCCGGCAGGAGCAGGGGGGAGGGAGGAGAGGGAGGCGGAGAGGCGCCCCCAGTGCAGGATCGGGAGGAGAGGTTAGAGACCCCGTCCCCTCCCCTGGGAGGTGCGCGAGGGCTCTCCGCCTCCGGGTGCCTGGGGAAGCACAGACCCTGCCGCCGCAGCCCCACAGTCTTGGCGGGAGAAACGGCATCCTCCCCAGGAGCACCCGGAGAGAGGACACGAAGACCCCCAGCCCTGGACAAGCGGAGGGGCAAAAGCAGGATCTCCCCATTTTTTTTTTTTTAAAGAAGCCTGCCCTCCCTTTCTGAAATATCGGGGTGCTTGGAGCACCACCCCCGGGGAGAGCTAGCTCCCCGAATCCAGCTCCGCCTGGAAGAGGGCTCGAGTCCTCAGAGGCCCCCCCACCGGCGTGAGCTCGGTCGAGGCTGGGCGGCCGAGCCTCGGGGGTCGGGGGGAGACACCGGGGTCATCCCGACTCCTCCGCGCCCCCCGCCCGCCCGGCCATATTGTGCGCGTGGGGAAGGGGCGCGATGGCACCCGGGCGCCGCGTCGCGAGGCCTCGCCCTCGCCCGGCCCTCCCCATCGCGGCCCCCGCCCCCCGCCGCCGGACTCACCCTGGGCTCCCCGGGGCCCGGGTCCGCTGCCGCCGGCGAGCAGGAGGACGACGAGGGGGAAGAATGGGGAGGCTCCGGCCGACTCCGCCATAGTAACCGCCGCCGCCGCCGCCGCAGCCCAGCAGCGCCCAGCGCGCGCGCCCCCGGCGCCTCCCTCCTCCTCCCGCGGCCCCGCTCCCGCCGCCCGCCCCTCCGCCCGCCCGGCGCCGGCACGTGCGCTCCCGGCGGAGCCGGCCCCGCGCCGCCGCGCGCGCACCCGAAGGGCGGGGCCGGGCGCGCGCGGGCGCCCGCCTTAAAGGGGAGTGTCCCCGTTAAAGGGGCGGGCGGGGTGCGCCCCTCGGCGCCCCTCGCCGGCGGGGAGAGTGCGACTGGGAGTTAAAGGGGAGTGTCCCCGATAAAGGGGCGGGTGAGTCCCTCGCCGGCGGGGGAGAGCGCGGCTGGGAGGAGGCCGAGGGGAGCGCGCGGCTTCCGCCCGCCCCTGCACCTCACCCGGTGCGGCTCTCTTATCAGCACCGGCCTCCTCCCCGCATCGGAGGTCCCGCGCGTCCCCCGCGTTCTCTGGTTCCCTTAGTCCCGCTGCCCCGCCTCACGTCCCAGCAGGGTCTTCGCCCCCGTCTTCAGCCCTGGGGGTGCCCAGCAACCTGTGTGATCGGTGATGGGGTGCCCCTTCTCAGAACATTCTGAGGCTCTTTGAGGATAGTCCTCAATTTCGGGAAGGGTGCTGGAGAGGCACCCACATTCTGCTCCGGCCTAGGTAGAATCTTCTGGGTAAACAATTTGGCATTCTGTATATAATGCCTCAAAATGCTCATGTGTCTTCAGGAAATAATACAGAATAAATGCGTATGAAAAGTTTTAACTGTTGCATGTTTATCATTGTAAAAGGCTAGTCACTAGGCAATTATAAAAGACAAAAAAAATTTTTTTTGTGGCCCATCCATAGGATGGAGCATTATTTAGTCATTAAAGGTATAGTTTAAAAAAGTGAGAAAATGTTAAGTGAATGATAATGATACATGAGATAATATTAAATTAAAAAGCAAAAGACGAAGATGTGCCCTGTGCTGTGGCTCAGTTGGTTGAAGTGTGGTCCCATATACCAAAAGGGTTGAGGGTTCAATTCCAATCAGAGCACATACCTAGGTTTCGGGTTCCATCCCTGGTCAGGATCAGGACCCTTAAGAAGGCAACCCATTCCTGTCTCTCCCCCTTCTCTCAAATCAATGGAAATACAGGATGTCCCCCCAAATGATACATGCTTTGAGTGATTATAAAGTCAGTGTTTATTAACATACAGTTCATTTTCAAAATTGATTATCAGTTATAAAAGTATATATTTTAGGGACCCCTTATATATCCTAGGGTGAGGATTTAAAAAGCACACACACACACACACACACACACAAATAAATAAAATAAAAAGCACACAAAGCTGTTTACAGTATTGCTCTAATTTTATTATAATATACCATATTTCTGCATAAAAAAGGACTGGGAGGATATTATCAGTAGTCATTGCCAGAATAATTTTTTACTTTTTCTTTAAACATTTCGGTGTTTCCTAAACATTTTACAAATAAACAAGTGTTACTTTCAAATACAGAGAAAATGCCTATAAAAGATAAAATCACCTCTATCTGAAAAGAGTTTACTTTCTTTGGCTTAAGAAAGAACTTGAGATTGTAAAAAAGCCAGAATTATGGATCTGAATTCTCCTTTTCTTACCAACGGACAACTTGGGCAAGTTTTTTAACCTAAGTCCAGTTTTATCATTTAGGATCGAGGGTTGGAGTGACCAAAGGGTAAAAGGAGGAGTTTCTCAAATGAAGTCCTCACTTTGTAAGTTATCACCAACCTGACGAAGCCTCATCCTCACCAGAAAAAGCCCCCACAAGACTGTAGACACATTCCCCCCACACGCACATTCCCCCCACATGCACACGTGCAAAGTCATGCAGGGGCACTGTCCACAAATGGGTCAGTGTAGCTAGATGAGTAAACACCTTATTTTTATACTGCCCTCCCTCACCTTTCTACTTCTCTACCACCACCAAACCCCCCCCCTCTCCCCGACCCTTCCCCCCCACCCACCCTAGGCACCTCCCTCCTCCAGCCCATTAAACTGGTCTCCCAGACTCTGTGGCACCCCCACCCTGGGCTCCCAGCTGTGGTGGGCACAGCACTGTGACTGCGTTAGCTTCCTGGAGCTGCTGTAACACCACACACTCGATAGCTTAAAATAACAGAAATGTATTCTCTCCCAGGTCTGGAGGCTGGAAACCTGAAACCGGGGTGTCAGCAGGGCTGTGTTCTCCCTGAAGGCTCCGGGGAAGAACCAGGCCTGGTCTCTTCTCCTTTCGGCGGGCTCCCAGAATCCTTGGTGTTCTTCCCCGGTCCTTGGCTTGTGGAAGCATGGCTTCTGTCTCTGCCTTCGTCTTCACATGGTCGTCTTCCCCCTGTGTGTGTGTATCTCTGTCCAAATGTCTCTCTTCTTATGAAGACACCAGTAACTGAATGAGGGCCCAGCCTAACCCAGCAGGAGCTGACGTAATTATAACTTGATCACATATGCAAATATCCTACGTCCCAGTAAGTTCAGTTCACAGGTGCTGGCTGGGTAGGAATTTTAGGGGCCGCTATTCCATACAGTATGTTGGCCCACCCCTGTGGTTGGGAAGGGAATGCGAGCCCTCTCGGGCACGTCTCTGAGGCCCAGGGCTTGAAGGGACTGTTCTTTCCTACATCTCGCTAGCTGCTGCCACTATGGCCACAAGACCAAGAGTCCCAGAGGGCCCGGGGGCAGCTCTGCTCCTGCACTGCAAGGCCAGCCACACACCTGAATAGACCGCCCAGGCACCCGGACCACTGGGTCCCCAGATCAAACGCCACCTCACTCAGCCACTTGCTAACATTGGACATTAGCAAGACATGTTACCTCCCTAAACCCCGATTCACTTGTTTGTAAAATGGAGCTGACAGCCAAAACCGGTTTGGCTCAGTGGATAGAGCGTCCGCCTGCGGACTGAAGGGTCCAGGGTTCGATTCCGGTAGGGGGCATGTACCTTGGTTGCGGGCACATCCCCAGTGGGGAGTGTGCAGGAGGCGGCTGATCGATGTTTCTCTCTCATCGATTTTTCTAGCTCTCTCTCTCCCTTCCTCTCTGTAAAAGGTCAATAAAATATATTTTTAAAAATGGAGCTGATAATAGTTCTACCTCCTAGAGGAGTTGTGAGGACGGCGGGAGGCATAGCATAGCACCTAGCGTGGTCTCTGATGCACAGGGAGTGATAGAAGGAGAATAGCTGTTCTTTTTATTTTATTTTATTTTATTGATTTTTTACAGAGAGGAGAAGAGAGGGATAGAGAGCTAGAAACGTCGAGAGAGAAACATTGACCAGCTGCCTCTTGCACACCCCCTTACTGGGGATGTGCCTGCAACCAATGTACATGCCCTTGACCAGAATGGAACCTGGGACCTTTCAGTCCACAGACCAATGCTCTACCGCTGAGCCAAACCGGTTTCGGCAAGAATGGCTGTTCTTACAGTGATGCTTCGACCTTTACTGTAATCCTGGGAAGTGGCTGAGGCATGCCAGGGTGTGTTCGGTTTATGGGCGAGGCAGCTGAGACCGAAGCGAGGTGAGTGAGTGACGTGCCCAGGCTCACGTATAATTAAGTGTCGACGCCACAGCCTGCTGGTCCTGTCCTTCTCCAGCATTGAAGCATCTCGTGCTTTTTTCAGGGCCTGATCTGCAAGAGCCAGCTGAGGGTAGGAGATGAGGCTTGATGGGGTGGGGGAGGGAGGTTAGTAACATCCTTCCCACCCCATTCCTGAGTTTGAGGCAGCTGCTCACGTCAGAGATTTCCTGGGCCAGTGGTGGGCAAACTCATTCGTCAACAGAGCCAAATATCAACAGGACAAGGATTGAAATTTCTTTTGAGAGCCGAAAACCGACATCTGCTCGTGGGCCGAGAAGTTTCAATTGCACTGTACGTGCGCGCCTGCACATGGTATTTTGTGGAAGAGCCACACTCAAGGGGCCAAAGAGCCGCATGTGGCTCGCGAGCCGCAGTTTGCCGACCACGGTCCTAGGTGATGCATTGACCCTGCCTTTTAGGTCCCGAGCTGCATGGGACAGACCGTGCCCCCTGCTGCAGCCTGGCTCGCTTCCCACCCCTGAAGGCCTCAGCAGAGTGTCCATTTCTCTATGCCTCGTTACCTTCAGGATGGGACCCAAATCACAGTCTATGAACGCCTCGCCAGCCCGCTCTGCTCTGTCCCTTCGTCAGAGATTCCCCGGAGCCGCCAGGATTCCCCTTTCCAGGAAAAAGTCCTCCTCCCCAGCTCCACTGACGAGATCCCCTGGTGCTACAGCTGCCTTCTTGCTTGCAGCAAATCCAGACGCCCCACCTCTTGGGGAATTCAGCACAGTTTGCCTTGGTGTGCAAATAGCAGTGGTATTAACCCCAGGAAGGCAATAGCCCATCTTCAGTCACCCATGCTACAAACACTTATCAAACACATTGTGTCCAAGGCACAACATATACACGTAGATAAGTCCTTGCCCTCATGGAACTTACAATCTAATAAAACATGCATTTTAAAAAGCAACGGAGTGCTGTCCTGGCTGTGACGGCTCCGTTGGTTGGAACATCGCCCAGTAAGTGGGGTTTGGTGGTCCGGTTCCCAGCCAGGGCACACACCTGGGTTGCAGGTTCGTCCCCAGCTGGGGCACGTACAAGAGGTGACCAATCAATGCTTTTCTCCCACATCGATGTTTGATGTTTCTCCTCTCTCTTTCTCTTTCTCTTTCTCTTCCTCTCTCTAAAAACCAAGAAACATATCCTCTGGGGAGGATTGAGAACCATGTGTTACAGCATACACCGGTAAGGGTTCACAGAGGGCAGTTAGGAGGGCGTGATGGTTCAACCTCACGGGGACAAGGTGGGGAGGCAGGAAGGGTGTCAGGAACAGGCCATGCTACCACTGACTCTCGGAAGATAAAAGGATGTTTCCTAGATAGACAGGCTCGTATGGGGCAAGGGAAGGCGGGAGGTTGCTCCTGGCACAGGGAGCAGTATGAGCAAGTCACTGCAGTGAAATTGCCTGGCATTTAAGGGAACTGTGAGCAGCATGGCAGCACCCTGGGGAGTGCAGAGCAAAGGAGGATGGC